AAAGTTTTCAAAATTTGACTTTTGTGGGGGCAAATATATGCAATATACCGCATATAGTTCTTTAACAAATTTCCTATATGGATATAACGAAATGCGGATATAGCGAAGTAATTTCATAGGTCCCAGTGACTTCGTTATAACCGAGTTTTACTGTACCGTTAATTGTTACTTCGATGTACTAAATAAAACTTTGATTTACCATTGTAAAAGAAGACTTATGTTAATGTTTTCATTTGCTGTTATTTTAAATAAGAAATTTTGAATTACTTTAGTCAAAACTTTGATACGTTGTATAATTATGATAAAATCTGAGTTTGACTACATAAAAGTATAAAGTAAAGAAATCGATACTTTAACTTAAAATATTGAAAACATTTTAACCTTGATTTACTTAAGAACAATGAATCATGATTGTTTGAAAGATATAGTCTCATAACTTCAACGATGCATACAAAGAAATTGAATAATGCGCATCAGATTAAAATGTATTGCTCATATCTACAATTTTAACCCAGGTTGCCTTTTATTTTCATGTTATTGCAAATGAGACTTATCTTTAAAAATTCCTGAATTATCGTTTGGATGATTTCAAGTAAATGGAAGAGCCTTTACAACGTTTTTGAAAGTGAGCGTGATATTTGGTTTTCGCTTTTGAAGTTGCACTTCCATGGCACTCAACGTTTGTGACTTCGAAATGAAACGTAATCTTCAACCTTTTGACTATATCTCCGTATTATGGTGTTTTGAATGCCGTATATTTCTTCACACCTCATATGCAAAATACGAGGGTTGTCCCAAAATTCCCTAGACTGATGTCATATCCCATAAAGGAATTAATGTATTTTTTATAAAAATTTTCGGATAGATAAAGTGTGTTCTTGGCAGATTAAATACAAAGATCTATCATGTTTACTTGAAAACTTTTCGAGTAATAATATTTAAAGTGATATCGTTCTCCAACACCCGGAGCAATCTGCACTGTCAAAAAATACAAATCTCAACGGTTCATTTTTTCTTATTTAGAAAACATTTCAATTTCCAAAATCAAATTCTTAAATAAAGTGAAAAAGGTTATAGTTATAAATGTGAAATATCTTAATTAATATGATATGATCAAACATTAATATATGTAAACAAAGTATATGAATATAAAAGTATGAAATAAACGTTTGAAAACGCTATATTTCTACGGGCTTTTCGTCTGTTTTCTCTAAGGGAGTTGCACAATGGAATTCTTGTAAATTTTTAGCCCTGTATTTTATCTTAGTTGAACCCCAGTCACATTTCCAAAACGACAAACGGCCGACGGGTTTTAAAGCAAAAATGGGATTCTTCGGGTGACAGTCGTTAGTTCATCAGCCGTTGTCTTGGCCGATTTTGACCTCTTTTTTTGTCAGCCGACAAATTTTGTGTCCATCGGTCCAAGTTATAATTTTTTTATGCGTCGGTGGCCGCTTTCTTCAATTGAAGTTATCCGTCGACCAACCTTCGATCATCGTCTGACCATCGGATGTGAGTTTATCAAGTCGGTCGTCCGTCGTTGAACAATTAGCGTGTTAAAAATTTCGGCCGACGGTTAAAATAAAACTGTAGCTCATAGCTCGATGATCGGGCGACGATTGGGCGACTTATGAATATTTAACTTACATGTATTGAGGATGCATAACAGAAGCAGAATTTTGATGCATGGATTGATATGATTTTTTGAACGGAAATAAGGTAAACAATTAATCCGTAAGCTATAAAAGAAATCTTAAGTGTTCTTTGCTGCTTAGATACATATATGCAGTATTTGTCCTTTTCATGCATTTCTATACAAAATTTTTCACACATTTTCAACATTGAGTCACAAGTTTATAAAATTTTGACACCTTGCCCTGCAAACATTACTCACTCACCTATCTGAATATAGATCTATGAAAAAATATTGCTGATTTCTAAAGAAAAAAAATTGTGTTATTTATCTAATTCATCGGTGCCACTAGGAATTAATGTGACTGCTCCGTGTCGCCCAATACAGAGTTGGCCGATCATGTTCTTTCAGCCGACAAGACCAGAAAAATTAAGTCGCCCGACCATCGACTGAAATGTGACCTTATTCACATACACACAGAGAAACCCACTTAGTCTTTTTAAATACTAAAGACGAGAAAAAGTTTCCTAGTCAACCAAACATTTATAACTGGTACATTTCTGTATGAGTAAATTCAGAATTAAAACACTCGATCATAGTCCAGTGCGACGCCTGTGACAACATAGCCGCGATTTTTCAAAAAGTGGGATATCAACCCCAGGAAATATAGTTAATAAAACGGTTTTAAGAATTTTTATTTCCATTTAAAAAATACAGGGTAGTAATTACTTTTCCGTAGGATTTTTAATATAATATATCAAATTTTAATTGCAACTTTTTGGTATTGCGCCACTTTTTTACAACAGACAATGAAATGTGTATTTAAAATTGAAACAAGTTGTGCAGTTACTCCATATTTGTTCAAAGATTTATTAGATATTGTTGGTTTAATCTATATTTGAAGTTTCATTGATGTATGACACAGGGTTTCTACAAAACAACGCTTGTCTATGGAATTTTGGGACATCCTCGTATATGTGTAATAAGATATTAAAGTCCACACATTAAGACTTTGAACTTCGATTAACTTTAGTTAACTAAAGTAAATTTTCTTTAGGTAACAATAATTTAATTAATTTAAGTTAACTATTTGAGATGACAACATAACAGGAGAGGGAAGTGCATACTGTTTTGATGTTGTTTGTCGGACGGTAAAATGGTCGGTTGGTCTGTATTTTTTTTAATGCAAGTTGCACATATTATGATTATATTAGATGTACAGATTTATCATAAGAATATTTAGGTAAAGTTATATTTTGGATACGATCGAGCCATTTTACCGAGTTATGCAACTTGGACTTTTTGGGTAAGAATGAATTATTAATTATAGGACTGAAGCACAAGTGGCAACGCCTGTTGAATCAACTCTTCAGCGGAATGTATATCGTAAGACAATTGCTGCAAGTGGTATAAAAAAGAAACAGCCACAAGTTTCCTTGAATCAACATTCTGACGGACCTCTTTTCACAGATAATTTTAAGAAAGTAAAAATAATTCAAATATGTCTACATGTATTTACCGGCAGAGTATTAAATCAGTGAAAAACATAAAATGTATCGCTAACAGTAAACTTAAGTCATGTATGAAATAGATAATTTTCATATATCACTCAGTTCATTCGTGAAAAAAATAATACTTTTGACATCATATATTATATCTAAGCTAATTATATTTATGCTTTTTTACCATTTAAAAGATCAAGAAACCATAAAGAAAAAAATATATCAAATTCGATTTGAACTTCTTTTTCAACGGTAAATGTTACTCCCATTGTGAAATCTGAGCATCCAAGTAAAACATTTCTTGATGGATGAATAGTGCTCTCTATTTAAACGTATGATGCATGTGACAAATTTATGTAATGTATTTTGATATGTTTTAAATTTTCAGACCTTGAAAAAGTCAAACGGTAATCAGAGATCATCTGCTGTTCTCAAAGACACACCAAAGTATCCCTTTATTATTTTCAAATAATCATCTGATCTTATTTTCTTCTTTTTAAAGAATTTAGTCAGTAAAGTTTAGAAGAATCATAAAGCTTCCTTACATTGTATGAAAATGAGGCTACCTTCATTAATTCTCTGTTTGTACATGGAGTCAAGATTTTATTTTCAAATATTCAGTCGGGTTTCGATTTTCTACTAATTAGTAATCAATACCCTGCCCTTCATTTTTATGCATGTTTCTTGCTACAAATTAACAACATTATGTGTTCCATCCATGTAATAAATTTGAAATATGAATACAAAAAAACCTGACCATTCGGTAGTTATCAAATACGATTAAGAGTACTTTAAGTTCTCTATAATGTACAGCATAAGGCTCGTGCCTTGTTTTTATTTACATATAGAAAATATTGTTTTGAAGAATGAGATTTAACTTTCAGCAGCTGTCTGATCGTATTTAATATAAACTTCTTCATTGAAATTATTTGCTTTTAACGAACATAAGTTAGTATATTAATCTATGTAACCAAGAACATGACACAGAAATCTTTTTACTAATAAAGGTTTGGAGCTCTAAATCTGTCCCGTTTCTCGATAAATGAAGGTCAAATTTTTGATGATCATTAGGAAGACTTAAGCTAAATATTTGTAAAAATGAAGAAAAAAAAATTCATAATTTCAATTGGAACTGTGTACATGTCCCTATAATTTTTTGGCATTTCCAGTTTGTAAATGAATTTGCTTGTGTACCATCAGGGATACGACAGTTCTGTTACTCTTTCTGCTTATGCAACGCCCTGAAAGATATCACCCCATGTACATGTACCATATTATTTCAGCAAAACAAAATGTAACATTTTCGAAAACTGTCTGAATTTATGTACATTCTAAGACATTAAAAACCAGAATATTCTAGATTTTAATGATATGCCCTGAATGCATCTTAACACTTCAAATGGTATTAATATTCTTCAGACTGACAAAAGTACATGTGCACAAAGCGCGTAAATATTTTTTCTTGTTTATTAAAGCATCGGCCAAGATTATTTTTATTTTGGTGAAAAAAAAAATGAAAAAATATATCAGAAATATAATGAAGAACTTGTTCCTTCAGAGGGAAAAAATTTAAGACAAAATATCTTTATATTTTTATAAAATATCTCAATGTTTATTTTGAAAGCCAATACACTGTTAAGGTATTATTGACCACTGCATTGGACGGGGACGTTTAGATAAATAGGGTCATGTGGATATCTTCTGCAAGTCTGTTGGTTGTTGTTTATTATGTTTTGTTCCATTTCTCGTTACCGGATACGGTAGTCTAGTCGAAGGGCGTTAGCTTTGTGATCAGGAAGTCCTTGTTCGAATCTCGTTCGCGGCGCCGCGTCATATTTAAGACGTAAAAATAGGTAGTGAAAGTCATGGGTCTTTCGGATGTGAACTTAGAAACGTAGGTTCCGTGTCAGGGTAGACGTTGGCACGATAAAGAACCCACGCTGCTTAATGGCCCTGAGTGCAGAGTATAGGTCTACATTTGAAGCCCTTCACCAGCACACGGTGATGTCTCCAGTGAAAAATACTCGAGAGGGACGTTAAACAACATACAAACAATCAAACAAACAATCTTAACATTGCGAAAGAATGACGAAACTTACAAACAAACCAGCATTATGTATTTGTGATTACAAGAAACTTAATATTTTACGGGTTTATTCATTAATAGTTTTTACATTTTCAGTCATTTCAAAGAATTTGACCGCAAATCAATGCAGAGGAATGTAGTTTCAATGTTTGACGACTTATTAAAAATTATTGAAAGCGATGAATACGATTCACATCTTCGGCAGTGCCTGGAAAAAGCATCTCCTGGTTATTTGATTCATATTGCAAAGCGAAAAAAAGATATACTTAAATCAGATCACGGAATTGTTATTGCAGGTATAATTTTGCAGTTAATATGAAAGTAAACATGTGTTTCAGGGAGAATGAATTATTATTGTAATAAATACTATTATATTTGTGACCTATTCATGTTATTAATATACTACTTATTTCGTTTCTTTCATCCTCATTTTCACCTATTCGTACAGCATGGTGAATTACAGTCTTCTGGAATTTACTATGTGTCCATTTATTAAGTCTCATGAATGATTATTGGTTGATGTGTACATGTAAAATGGCGTTGTGTTTACATTCGCGTTTGACTTACATGTTCATAAGAGAAACAAAGAAGTTGGATTTTCCGCAGTTATAAATAATAATTTTATCAAGTTGCATTTCATGTATCACGTGATTTTATTGTCGCTTGTTGTTAACAAATCTGATCCTGCGGAAGCATGACTGGACGAAAAGGGAAGAAGTTGAGCAACAAGGTAAAAGAAATTGCATGGAAGTTATCAAAAGAAGGAAATTTTATCAGCTACGTATCAGAAACAGTGGATGAAGGATATGGAGATAACGAACAGTATTCAATCTCAAAGTCCATTAAACAATACAAAATAAGAGCAGAGCAAACTCGGACCCCCGAAGCATCAGAGGTGGGATCAGGTGCTAAGGAGGAGTGAGCATCCCCTGCTGATCGGTCACACCCGCCGTGTCACCTTACAAAATACTAGGTATGATTATTTTGATTATTTTGATTTATGAAATAATATAAACCAGTTACCTACTTTCGTCGCCAATGTAAACACACCACCATTGTGTATGAATATGTATTGCATCATAATGTTCAGTTTAAAGGCAACATTTTTTACTAACATTAAACATTTAATTCTCATAATATTTTTTTTTATTTTTAAGTAGAGACTAGTGCTGGCAAATCCACTCTTGTTAATAAAATATTGGGCATAAGAGTTTTTAAAGGAAGAAATATGGAATCTACGTCAACAATTTGTAAAATTCGAAACTCTGATAAGGTGATAATAAAAACTGAATTAGATAATGGGGAAATTGATGTCAAAGATATGAGTAACATTGATGTTAAAACAAAGGAAGGAGAAAAAATTCTTCGAGAAACTTTGAAGAATTTTACAGACATGACCATTGCGAAAGGCAGTGAGAAGTATAAAAGCGTGGATGTTGGACTTCCAGTATCATTTCTGAAGGTATTTATAGTAACTAGTGGAATCATGTTCTACGTTAACACTATATTTTTTTTAATTTCTTATAATTTTATACAATAAACGAATTTCAATTCAATTTACAATGACTAATTTAAAGTCATTTATTATCTCGAAGGGCAATACAATCCTAGTTGATACACCAGGTATTGGAGGCTCTGAAACTGTCAGTCACAAAATGAAGGAATACTTACCAAATGCTGTTTCTTTCATATTTGTGATCAATGTTGCAAGTGCAGGTGGGATGCAAAGAGACAGGGTAATGTATATCAAAGAGAGAGAGAGAGAGAGAGAGAGAGAGTATAAAATCGTACTTATCGACTTTTTATAGGATAAACTCTAAAAAATTAACTTTTTTAAGCGAGTGATATATTGATGCTAGTTTGATATTCATGCACATTACGTAATAGGATTATATAATACTTTCCTAGTAAAATGCATTAAACTGAGCACCTGTTCGTGTGTTATGAAAGGTTCTCTTTAATTTTTTTTTTTTTTTTTTTTTTTTTTTTGGTAAACAATTTTTAGAAAAAAGCATACTGCTGGATGACACTTTATAATAAACAGCATTTTTCTTTTTGTGTAGTAATGTACATGTACAGCTTAAAACTATGCATACTTATTTTGATATAACTCCTACTTTGGGAATATGTAAATATAAATAACATAACATAACCTTAATTTTATATAATTGATAGCTTCCAGAAATACTGAAATCCATTATCGACTTGCAAATGGATGACGAAATGCCTTGTTTTGATCCGCGAAGTGTTATTTTCGTGACAAACAAATGGGATTCTATCATAAGAGACCCGGATGACAGCAGCGAAGAAGACGAGGTCAAAAATACTTGGAAACAAGTAACAGACAGCATTAATGAATGCTGGCCATTAGTCAGGAATGAAAATATTTTCAAAATGAATCTAACACAGGTATAACTTAAGCAGAATATACGGAGTTAAAAAGAAAACAACCGCAGAATGTCATCTCTGTAAATGACTGCTAACAGAACCGCGGTCATTGATGACACGTTTGTTGAGTTCAAATTAAGTTCATTAATCTACATGTATAGCATTTTACTCTGATTATATAGATTTAAGCGTTTTTGAAATTTGATCCCAATAAACCTGTTTAAATAAATACTTAAAGGAACCATCTAAAACAGAAAAAAGCTTATGATTAAACTCCCAAAGTAATAAAAGTACAAAAGAATGATTTCTAACAATAGAATAAGATGCGAATATAATAGAGAGAGAGAGAGAGAGAGAGAGAGAGAGAGAGAGAGAGAATTGAGAATGTCGTTTTCTGGCAAAACAGGGTATTTTGTGCTCAGAGGGTATTCATGGTTCCGGATATAAAAAGTGCATTTCAATAGCTGTCCCACCATTACAAGCTACCTACGCTTTGTCCGTAGGTATGTCCGTTGACCTATGAGCCCCAACATAGCACCACCCTTAAATGCATGTAAACACTATTCAATAATTATTATTGACCTAGTCCCTATGTCTGCAGCACAAGAGTTCTAGCCCTAAGCTCTTTTACTCATCTTTCTTCAAAGTCCCCAATTCTATTACTCTTGGTGAAGAATCTTAATAATACTGTTGCATTTCCGTTCAAATTTTATTACTTAGTATGGGTGGGCTCGAATGGTCTACTCTGTCAATTTAATTACAAAATGATTTACTAAACTAAAGTACATTGTAACAACAAAATAAATGAAGTTTGTCTTTGCAAGATAATTACAAATCATTTTAGGGAGAGGGCGTCAGCTTTTAGAACTTGTGCCCAATCCTTTTGTCATTGCTAGCGCTCTCGAGCGCTAGCAACTACGTTAGTCCAAATTTCTTGAATACGCATGCTCGGCTTCATGGTCATGCATTCTGGGAAAAACTTTGAAAACTGCTATATAGATAGACCGTACGATAACAATTTCGTTGTATCAATAAATAACGATGTTTATTTATTGTGAAGCTTACAGTTTAAAGATAAGTACATAATTGCAATACTTCAAATTCTCTTTTTTCTGAAGGAAAAGCCTGAGTCAAAATATCTGGTTGTTTTAAACAAAGTCAAGGGAGTTTTTTTTTTTTACGTCTAAGCACAACCAAAGATAGACTCTAATTTCTGACTGGTAAATTCAGCCAATCTTACAAATTCCAGAAACAAGAATTTACACTAAAAATAACGAATAAATTCATTATTTATAAATAAAAAATTCTGATGTGCATGGCTTTTCAAAACCTCAGTAACAGTTCTTGACAAAGATGACCCAACGGACCAAGCTACTGCACAACTTCACATTCGGAACTCTCTGGATTTCTTTAAACATCATACACTTTGAGTTATTTCTATATTCCCTTTACCTCTCCTGTATTTTCTTTGCTACATTGCCACGAAATTCTATTCCTTAACCAACTCATAAATTACCTCAATCGGCATCTTCACCATATTATACAGAGTCCTCCCCCTCTCCAGTTAAGGTCATAAATGTTCCGTTGCGCCAACACAAAAACTTCAACCCCCCCCCCTCTTCGTTTCCTCATATAAAATACACTTTAAAAAACAATTATAACTTTATCACACTCCAGTCTCGATAAAAATTAAAGAATTCAGCAAAATAAATCACTTGTGTTTTAAAATTGCTACTGCGCTAGCTCACCTATCTTTTTTAAAAGATAAACTTGTTAGAAGTTACAATAGAATACTGTAAAACGAGAATATTTGGCACACTACTAATTTTAGCGCCTTTGGCGCAAGAGCCCCTGAGCGCTAAAATTTATTGTGCGCTAAAGGATTTCTAAATATCATTTTTTTTGTGTGTGTTCAAAGCTTTTACATAAGTACATGTAAACCGGAACGCCCGATTACGTAATGTCGAAGGGTCATTGGATTTTATATACACACTAGTACTGCACATGTTCGGAAAACAGAAAGTTCTGCCAAATTATAATTTGATTAAACTATTGTTACCCCAGTAGTTGTTACACGATTATTATCATTAGCACCTCCAAAGTTTGGCTTCATGGCGTGTCAATCATTTATCGTCTCGAGGTAAACAATGCAATCAAGCATGGCGATTGAGCTTGCAGACAATACCTGATTAGGATTACCGTTTTATCGAAGTAATTTTCTGTCGATGCATGCATTGTTTTAATATGATTTCAAATGAGTAAATACTCCATTTCTTTTAATAGAAAATAGAAATAAAATAAATATTTAACATTGTGCCACGTCCATGTGATAGCAACACGTACCGCGGTAAAGTTAACGAATGTTTAATGATATACGGGAATACTAATGTGTTTCCGTGCTTGACTTACTAAAAAGTCAAATGCGGGTGTGGAGAAAAAACAAAATATCAAATTTATATATTTTACTGACAAGTGCAAGCGCTAAAACTTATTTGCGCTAATGCATCCCCACTTGCGTTTGCGCTAAAATATGTATGCGCCAAATTTTCTCGTTTTACAGTATGTTAAAAACAATTATAATTCATAGAATTATAGTACTCTTTCCAATTATAAAGTCATCGAATTTGAAGCACTAATAAAATATATTCTGATTTAATCAATTTATCATTTTACTTTCACTACAAATAACTAAAATGATTATGATATTAATACCTGGTATAGTCTAAGTTTAAAATGTTCTAATAATATGTCTGTTTTTACCCCTACAGGTTTACACAGAACGTAAAACATTTTTCTCACTTTTTAGGTAAATAAAGAAGAAAATTCCAAGCTAGAGTTTAATAAATTTCGAAAGGTTTTGGAAATGGTAGTGAAGGAGAATGAAAATATAAGAATCAGAGAACACTTAAGGTAGCTTCAAATTATTATTTTCTCGTTTTTCTGTGTATGTTTATATGTTTGTATGTAAGAGTGTGTGTATGGAAGCATGTGTAAGGGGGTGAAGGTGTATGTGATGGAGGGTGTGTGTGTGTGTGATGTCTTTGTGTAGGTTTATAAGGATGTGAAACTGTTCTAGAGGGTGTGTCTGTGGTGTTAAATACATGAAATATGAAGGTTGTCCCAAAATTCCGTAGACAAGCGTTGTTTTGGAGGAACCCGATGTGAATTATAAATGAAGCTTTTTACGTAGCTTAAAGCAACACTATCTTATAGTTTTTTGGATAAATATGGATTACTTTCACAAAATCATTCTATTTAAATGATAAATTAAACGTCAATTGTCTGGTATAGGAGGAGGGCACGCAGTACCCAACAGTTGCAATTACAAATTGACAATTTTTTAAAACTCCTACGGAAAAGTAATTAGTTCTCAGTATTGTGAGCATATAATAAAAATTCTTTACAACGTATTATTTTTTATATTTCCTTAAAATTTGGTTTTTATGCTTTAATAAATATAGTTTTTATAATACTATACAAGAATCTGATTGAAATCCATTTTTTAAATAATGGCGGTTCAGGCAGAACACTAGACTATAATCAAGTGAATTCACTCCTACAAAAATATACAAGTCATAATTGTTTGTTAGACAAGGAATTGTTTTCTGGTCTCTAATATTTAACATATTTAAATATGAAATGGTTTCTATAAGTATTTCAATAAGAGAAAGTAAAAAATAAGATCTCTAAAATCTAAGAACTGGGCAGAAACGATTTCACCTCAAATATTATAACTCGAATTGCTTTCAAGTAAACATTATAAAATATAAAAATTTCTTTTTGAAGAATATGCATTATCCACTCACAATTTTTTTTTATAAAGATACATTAATTTTCTTAAAAGAGTTGACCTCAGTCTACAGACAAGCCTCGTACATTGCCTTTTCTTTTTACGCTCATACTGATTGTGTTGTTTATACCTGTATAACTTATACTTTTTTAGGTACCTTTGTACACTGTTGGATGATGTATGCACAGGAGTTCGCACAAGACAAGAATTGATAAATAGATCAAGAGAAGAACAAGAAAGGAAAGCTAAAGAGCATCGAATGAAAATTTATGAGTTAAATAGCAAATGCGAAAAGGTATAATGTAGTTATCTGAGCATCTTGTAACAAATCCTAGCGTGCTCAAATAACATTCATATGAAATATATACATGGAAATCTCCAAATACCGATTTTCTGAATTTTGTCTTTATTCAGTTAATGGGATAATAAATACACGAAGAGAACATACAAAGATTCTGTTGTAAATTAAGTCTATGTAGGGAATAATTATCTTAATATTTGAAAAAGTAGAAGTAAATTTGCATGGAGTTTCAATTAAATATTTCATTTCCAAGACCCCTTTAGACCCAATCAATCTTACCAGTAATCTTTATACAGTATATTTATTACAGTATATATTCAATGTGTAATCTGTAAGAGAATATTATACAATTATGGACTCTTTTGTTGTTGAATATGGTTTGTTATTCACCATAAAAATATTCATATTGACCGAAGCGAAACCGAGGTCAATATGGATATTTCTCTGGTGAATAACAAACCATATTCAACAACAAAAGGGTCTATAATTGTTTTATAACATAGTCCAAATTTGAATAAAAAAGACATCGAAGGCTGAAAGACGACACCATTTTCATTAACGAACTTCCATCGTTGAAAAAAAATGTCCATATTACAGCTTGTCATCTCCGTGTTTTCTTCTTCTAGTTTCGTTGTGTAAGACCTCCAAATTTTTAAAAATAATCCAGCAATAGGTTAGTGTAATATTTTCTTGCTCAGATACGTAGCTCGCTGCGACTGTTACAACCATATCGTTTTCAACTTCGTTTGAGGTGTTGATTGTGACGTCACAAAACCGCTGCACATGCAATGACCCTCCGGTGAATACAGCCTCAAATCCAGTGAATATGTAGTGTTATGAACTGTTTGCGCTTGTGTAGATTATAAAGGGAATACAAATAGACTATACAATAATACATTTCATTTTTTTTTAGCCGAAAATTTTCTTTTTGAATTAGAGAATTGTTGAGGAACAAGTTAAAATACACGTATTTATTGTCACATATTTATCAAAAGTAAAGTCAACTATTTCAAATGAGATTGGCAAAGGGGATGAAAGTCTTTTTTGTGTAGATTGCGACTATACAAGTGGATATATAATACATGCATGCAAAAGGTTATTTAGTCGTACATTCCAAGATAGAAGCTGATGACGATCCATTGTAGTCATCTGACATTACCAATGTTCTTATTTGTCACAAAATCTGTCTGAAATTTCTAGTCTTATAAAATACCTTTATCTTAGGTTTGACTTAAAATGTGATCTGACTTTCAGTTATCTTATGCATCAGTATGTTAGCAAGTTGACAAATGAAACTCTGAGAAGTTTTAGTTTCATAGCAAAAAAAAAAAGGTGTAAGCTTTATTTGTTTGGAAATAATTAACGATGTTCTTACAATGTTCTTTTAGAAAAGTTGTTGCTGGCGGGAAAATATCCAACTCTTTTTGGATCAAGAAGCAGATGCAAGTTTTGAATACATGTCATCAGACATTGGCAAAGAAAGAATTCTTAATCCAGAAGGCTTAGTACCTATCATGGATATGACATACATACCCACCACAATTAGTGATGACGTTCGGGCCAGGATTCACCACTACATTTGTGATAAATTACGGTCGCCTGATGTGGTTCAAAAGTTCAAAATTATTGAAGATGATATTTTAAATTTCTTTAAAGAAATTTCGCCCGAGATAGAAAAAATGAAAAATGAATGGATCGGGACTAAGATTCCCGACAAAAAGAGCTCTAAAAAAGCTGCAACTTACAAGGAGGAGTCTGTTGCTCCCTATGTTGCTGGCGTTATAGCTACGTCTCCAGTATGGTTTCCCTTTTTGGCGGCTGGATTCGCAATAGCTGTGGCTTCAGTACCTTTTGCTGCCCCAGTGATTGTGTATTTGAGCAGAGATTGTAGAAGAAAGAAACTTATAGATAAAGAATATGAAAAATGTAAATCAGTGTTCAGAGACCAAATATACAATTCAATGAAAAGCAATTACGGGGATGTATTACTGAAATTGATATCAAAGGTTACTGGTGATATTTTGCAAAGAAGAATACAATTCATCGAAGAAACAATCAATGAACTCTCTAAAAACCGGGATAAAATAATTGCGAACCAAAAGAGCTTAATCAGCATATCAGAAAGGATCATGTCTATGAAATATGTGGCAGAGGAAGCTTTAAATAGCTGTTCAACGGAATAAACATACATGTAACATCCTTTAGAAAGAAAACTAACTGTAAAGTTTTCATAAATTGCAACATACATATTCTGAATAACTAATATCTCACATGTTCATTTCAAGCAAGAATTTTCTATGCTTTTTAACCGATTTCAATGACTTTGGAGTTTGACCTACTTTTTAAAAAAAAAATAGCATTAATTTAAATAAATTTTCATTTTGAAAAAGAAAAGAGAAAAGGGCAATCGTATGAAACATGTATATTAACTGTGACAAGACTTTTCTTAAAATGTATCATGACTTTTGACTCTGTGACTTTGAAGTTTAACCTATTTTTCCAATGATATATTTCTTCATAACGTTTGATGGAGAAGAGATAGTACTTTCATATTTGACATGTACATTATTTACAAGATGTTTCCGAGTATGCTATGATTTTTTACCGTTGACTTTGATGTTTTATCGAATTCAAAAAAATAACTCTGGTTTTCTTGTGAATAACATATGATAGGATATGCATATTTAACCCTATATTCCATAAATAATGGCATCTCATCCATTAAGACACCTAAGAAAATTCGGAGATCATTTTTTTTTATTTGCTTGTTTGTCATTTTAATATGAAAACTTCCACTGAGAGTATAAATTCAAGTTTTTCATGCCTACCATGACTGTGTCCGGGGCTTACAGTGTTTATCATGTTCGTCTTCTTGCCTTCAATCCCTCCATCTGTCCTTCCGCCATGCATTGTATTTTGCAAAATTCAAAACTCAGTTTCAAAGAATATTGTTTTATAAAATTTCATATGCCGATAAATACTGATGAGGGAAATGCAACTGCATCAACACATTTTGACGTTGACCTTACCTTTTACCTTGCTATTCCTTTAACTAGTGTTCAACTAAGTTTTAAAGACTGTAATCATACTTCATACGTTGATGGATACTCATGAAAGCTATTCAACTGCATCAACATCTTTTGACCATCAAATTTCCTTTAACTTTGACTTCACGTAACTTTAAATTAATGTTTAGTTTAGTTTTAAAGAATTCATTCGAGATATTGTAATCAAACTACATATGCTGATAGATACAGATGTAAGCTTTTCAACTTCTTCAGACTTTTTGATCTTGACCTTTCCTTTGACCCTGACCTTAATTTTCTTCAATTAGTGTCTAGATCAATTTTGAATTAACAATTCAATATACTGATATATTTATCAAACTATGCATGCTGGTACAAACTGAGAGCTATCAATTGCAACATTTTTTTTTTATTATTATTTTTTTGTTTTTGCACTTGACTTTTTCTTTGACTTTGTCCTTACCATTTTGAATTAGTGTGTATCTAAGTTTTAAATAAACCATTCAAAATATTTGTATAAAACCTCAAATGAAATTGCAATTACCTACTTGTAATAAAGTTGATTCGATTATTGTTTAGTTTCTGTGTGAATGCGTGGATGTTTAGTTTCGGTTTATTATTTTTTATTGACTATGTTTTAACGGTAGTGGGTTACCATAGATAGTTGTATGTAAGTTATATTTAACGTGAGGCGTGAGAAAAAAGTGACCGGTTAGGCCAGAGTGGTCAGACTAGGGAGCAGCGACAACATCACCTGCTTGCCACGATTGTACTTGTCCTATAAGTTCTTGGGGTTTAGCGAATATTACAGTTATAAAGGCTGTTAAACTGGTAGCCATTGGAATAAGGAAGGCTTGTTTGGATGGCATACTTTTCGGTTTTCGCTATCTTACTAGCCGGTAAGCGTATTAATTTTGTTGGTAAGTTTTCACTGTTGTAATTAATGTGTTCTTTTGTTCGGGTTTTTCGCTGTGTAAATTCATTTTAAGGTTAGTTAAACGTATGTTATTTTCAGTGCAAGTAGTAAGGCGTGAGGAGTGTTTGGTGTAATTCCTCAACGAATACCTATAAGAGACCTATACGTGGTCTGAAGTGACAATACAGATGGTCATGCGGATGCTGAGGGTGTATGGTTTATAAGGACACAGGACGTTCTTTCCAAGCCGGAGGATGAGACCAGCGAGTCTGGGCCTCCACCTACGGTGGTGAATCATCTATTGTCGATGTTCCGCATCTAAGTTTATCGGGACGGATAAGCACTTGGTGGGAGTCCTTCAGCGTGACTAGTGTTGTGATTAGTGAATTTAGTGAAATAATTTGGTGAATAAAATTTGAGAAAGGAAAATTCTATAAACTATTAGAAGATTATTTATTAAAGTGAACTTTTTCTAATCTCTATGAATATTATCATTATTTTTTTTCCTTAAATAACGTTTTTGTTAAGTTTACAATTTGTTCTCTTATTTCAGCCGTACAAAATTCCAAAGAACTCATTACACTACTAATGTTAGCCCTTTTCGTTACACTTTGCCTCGCCATTGTGCCATACAGACGTCCCTGTTTTTAATGCCATTTTACCCCAGGGTGACGATGAAAATTCCCTGACCATACTGCACATCTGCATGATACCACCAACCATCTCCCAAAAGATGATTAATCTACTGTGTAAAATGTAGGAGGAGTTTAAGGAAGAAGGGTCTTTTTGCATAAAAAAGCATTTTTCGACCCTCATTTGACCCCCACTGTGAAAATAAAATTAAGAAACCTTACTGTTTATCTACATGACACCACTAACATTTCCCGAAAGGTGATTAGGCTACTTCGCAAAATGTCAGAGGAGTTCAGGGAACTAGAGGCTTTTTACATAAACACCGCATTTTTAATGTAACATCCATTTAAGCCCCGGGGTGAAAATGATGATATCAAAAGCTTACTGCATATCTACATGTCACCACCAACCATCTACCAAAAGTTGATTAAGTGACTGTGTAAAATATAAGATGAGCTTAGGAAACAATCGGTATTTTACATAAAACGAATTTTTTATCCCAATTTGGCCTCCAGGGTGACAATGAAAATTACAAAACTTTACTACACATCTTTATTACATCAACAACAACCTTCTCCCAAATGATGATTAGACTACTGCGTAAACTTTAAGAGGAATTCGGGGAACCGGGGGCTTTTTACATAAAAACATAATTTTTCTACCCCCATTTGACCCCAAAGGTATAAATGAAAGTTCGAAAACATCACCGCATATCTACATGACACCAACAACCATCTCCCAAAAGTTGATTAGGCTACTGTGTATAATGTAAAAGGAAGAAGAGTGAAGCCGGGTACTGGCTTCCAATCTTGTTGCTGTATTAAAGGGAAATCCTTGTTCATCACAAAACGTGTAGAAAAATACCACTAGCTGACTTTTTTCCTTTAAAAATAGCTCACTGTGTAACGTGTATTATTTTGTAAAATTGAAAAAAAGGGAAACAGACTGAGTCAAGATGCGATGTCCTATATAACAGGTGTAGAGCTTAATTGATTATGATTGGACAAGTTCACTTATAGGATTTGTAGAAAACAAAATAGTAAGACTAATAAGCAAATCCACTGCTTAAAACTGAACACTTCTCATAAATAGGCACTGTCAGACGGGTATATAAATAGTTCAATTCCGTTACACCCGATTGCAAACTTGAAACTCGTGGCCGACATGTAGTACTCCTTTCGCGGTCTTAGATTTTTGCATTTATCCCTCGTTTTTATGTGCATTTTGTTTTTGTAAATAATGTATTGACCTGTATTTTTCATGATACTTTTTTCCTGTTTTGAAAAAATACGTTAAATTTGATAATTTCATCGCGACTGAGTAGCATGGCCGTGTAAGATGCACGTCTACACTCGTCGGATCTCTACAGTGAAATATATTGAACTGATTTACAGCGATCTGCTCTTTATATCTGTTTTGTAGGGAGAACGTTGAAGAACGGGAAATATGGCGGACTATGTCTTTTTACGAGTAGTGTTCACCTTTAAGTCTTGCTTGTCCATACACAATATTTTTATGAATGAGATGAAAATTGTAATTTATAAAAATCTGACGCTTAAAATTCAGGATAAAAGTTTATTTCGATCGAAGGTATCACATTTCCATTTAATCGAACAATCCAAGAAAAAGACACGAAGATAATTTACTTGTGACATTTGGCACGAAATAATTGTGCCACCCTTTCTTTGTAGAAGACAAATGACTTGAACAAGCAGTTAAGAAAATCTAGCAAAAATGTTACACGGACAAGTTCGTATAAAAATTTACAAAAAATATATGTAAATATGTGCATTAAAAAAGACTTAAGTTAGTAAAGGCATCTTTTTTTCATGCATAAAATGACAATTTCTTCTGCAAACTGTACTTGTTAAAATACAGGTAAATATTCCAGCATAAATCAATTTGGGCAAAAATCTAGCTTACTAAATATAGAAAAATCATTATTATACGGCCTGACGCTTGTGGCTATAATTATTCAAACCTGGAAAAGTTGCCATAAGTAACCCACTTATGGATTTTTATATTTGATAAAAAATGAATGAAAAGCATATTTTTAAATTTGAAGTTTCTTCTACCTTGTTTTTGCTAGATAAGGAATTTCTAATACAAAAAATGTAAAACTTAAAAAAAAAAATTAAAAATAATACGAACACTAGAAGTTAACATAACTGTAGAATTCTAGCTTCAAATCAATGATGATATATTTTTTTTAAATATTGTTTTCATGAGTAATGGTCTGTCCTCTTTTTCAAATAAAACGTACATAAGTCATGTTTGCTTTTACACACCCTGAGTGTAATGTAACAAGAATTTTAAAATACTAACAAATCACATATTTTCCTGGAGTCAGATTTGCGAAGTTTGGGAAAAATATTTGTTTGTGGTTACTGGTCTCTTCGCTATTATTCTGTAGTTCTCTCCATGACTCAAAACAATAAAAATTAAACCCCATGAAAATAAGTGATATCACAGTACTACATTAGTAATGCAAACGATCAGAAAACAAACAATGCACTTTGTATTTCTTGGCATTTGTTTTTATTCTTAAGTTCTTATGGACAGATAATATATATATATTATATAACGTCTTCGACCTCGATCCCAGGAGACTATGTTTCTGCCCTGTCACTATTCTTTTTATTTAATTTTTGCTTACATTTCTGACGCATTTGTATCACTAGACCCCAGTCCTTGGACTCAACCCTTATGAATACTTTCAAAATTATGATTTTTAGTGGATTAAAGATTTAAATTTGTTCAAATCATGGCCCTTTTGGGTAGGGAGGGAAACAATGCGGAATCAAATTCAAATTATTACAAAGTAATATATATGTGAAGAAAATGTTTTTAAAAAAAAACAACACAAAAAACAATCATTTGATCAAGAACAGCAGTCATATCTGTATTAATATGAAGGCATTTTCAAGTAGTTTTAAACTTCAAGCCCCGACCCCACCACCCCCATCCCCCGTAAACTTTTCAGTTCTGGTCTAAAATTGTGCTATTCCTAGCCGATATTTGCTCTGGTGAGCGATGTGGCCCCTGGACCCCTTGTTTACATTTCTTATGCCTTTGTATCACTAGGACTAAAGTTAAACCCCCATAAGTACTTTCAAAATTATGATTTTTAGTGGATTTCTGAGATCAATTCCAGTCCCTAATTAATTAAGCTTTAGTTTTTATATTCTATGCACACGGATGTTTTACATACTATTATCTTAGAACAACACATTCAACATCATAAATAAAAAAAATATAAATCATTCTTTCCAGAAAAAAAAAACAACAATACTTGACATGAAAAACTAGTTCTAAGATATCGAAAAATCTCTCGGTTAGAAATCACTCTTTTTCACAGATAAAAGTCTTCTTCATTAAGCAACGATTGTCATCCCAGAATCCATCCCGGCAAAATAGAGCACAATGTTGTCCTATTATATTCCCATTTGTGTCTACTTTTAGGAGGTTATCGGGCTGATCTGTGTACCAGTTTGTAAAATCGACCGCTATTTTGCGATTCCAAGTAAAATTGCCTTCGTTATCCATGTCTGTTGCCCCAATCCAGGTCTTACAGCATTGATACCAAATGGAACACTCCACTACAAATAACAAACAAATTGGGGCAGGTGATTAAATTAACAAATGAATAACCAATGATGTTTAGACAACTGAGCCAATCTGTGTCAATTTTTGAAATCTTACGAGTATTTTACCCTATCTTTGGACTTTCAGTAGGGCGTGACTTTCTCGGCGTTTCGTAATGGAGAATACTAGTAGATTCTCATTGGTTACGAAATTTTAAAATAACAAAGGAACTTAAAATTGTTGTTGATAACTGTCAGACGACTTATGCCCCACCTCTGGGCCGTGAGAGAACTTTTAATTGGCTATTTACTACACCAGTTGACATTCGACCGCATTTCTATCATATGTATATTTCAACAGTGAAGGGAAGCTGTGTAAAGAAGAAGGTACAGTTTCAATACAAATTAAGCCCTATATTTTTCTAAAAAATGAAAGTGATATAAAAAATAAAAATTCATTCTTTCTGAATCATAAGAATTCCCTACAGTAAGAATACACAAATCGTTTTCCTCCTATGACCTTCTAATGATAGTCGTGACGTCATTAACTTGTGAATTTCCCGCATTTTCTTAAAAAGTTGCAGGAGACATCAATTTTCAGTGGAATTTTCTTTCAGAAAACATACTCTGCCACCGTCGCCCAGAACGATTTTGAGATATGTGATTTTTCATAGCATTTTACATAATATATCTAAAAATTAAAGCGGGCGACGATGGCAGACACTATTTTCTAAAGGAAATTTAGCACGGAAATTAGTCTTTTTGGGGCTTTTCTGCATTAAACTTAGAAATGAACCAAATAAATGACGTCATATTTCCAGAAAGGCCCAACTTTATGCCATATTCTTTAATGATTCATATTATTCATCTTCTCATCTGTTGTTAAAGCCAATTTCATATCTTTTTAAAAACATTAAATTTTAGGGCACAATAAAGCTCAAACTGTACCCTCTTCTTTCAGAAGCTAATTAGGAATGCCACGCCTTACTGAAAGTCCAAACTAAGCGTGTAATTCTTCTATATGTCCCTTCATGAAGATGTCAATATCTTTTATGATAAGGTGCATGTGAATACTTCGAATCATTTCCATTTCATTGGTATGTAGGTGATAAAAGATAATTATACAGTTTAAATAAAATATGATTATTTTATGACTGTAAGTTAAATCAACTATCATGAGACCACAGACGTCATTAATTAGCAATTAATTAAAATTAATGAAAAATAAATAAAAAAAATAAAATGCTAAAAGATAAGTGATAAAAAATTATATTTTTAAATATTAATACAGACTAATTTTTTTCTTAAAAAATAGTTTTTGCTTCAATTTTGTATGAAAAGATCATTTTATAGTTCTTTAGTTATTAACTAAAAATTAAAATATTAGGAGCTTTCTAAAGAAGGTTTGGGCTAAAGACAATGCAAAACGAAATGAAACTTCTCACTTAAAGCTGTAACAAAGAATGACGATTGCATTTATTCAATGCAATTTTCTCATTTTCGGTACAAATAATGTTTTGTGAAGGTATATAAATAAAGTATTTGTTTTGATAAATGATATAAACATGATAGATATGCTAGAAAATATTAAGAACAATTATGGGCAATACATTGTACATTAATATAAAAATTTAAAAAATACCGGTATAACAAGCAATGGTACCACAAAGGTAAACATTTTTCGGAAATTAGTACATCCAAAAACAAGGCAGCATTTTTTCATCGATCACGATACTTATATAGCAAGCATCATGGTGATGCTTAGTGTGTGATGAAAGATGCCCACTACCTTATGTAAAGCAATATTTTAGGAAAATTAAAATTATGCAAAATAAATAATCCTAACAGTATTGTCTTTTTGTCTGGAATAATTATCATTTAACCAAACCAAATATCATCCATTTCCACCGTTTTCAAGGTTCATTGATACTCTGATAAGAGAGATAACTCTCTATTCCTTTATAGATTTGCCAAGTTGAAGTGTCTTTTTGTCCTGCGAGCTATGCTATAATTGTTTGTATTTAACTTATAAAAAACATTTCTTTTGGAAAATCATCAAGGTTCAAGCAACATTTAATATGAGTGAGCAGAGGGTTTATGTACCTTAAGATTAAAGAATTTTGGACCAAAAAAAGGAATCTTACTTGTATTCCAAGGTAATATGAGCGCCTCCAAAATCCATGTATTTTCTGCCATAGAACCTATTTCAACAAGGTGCGCTTCAAGAAGTTCACATTGCGCCTACAAGATTTTAAAATTAGAATCTTGTATAAAAAACTTTATCAAAAATTATTCAATAGACAATTAAAATTTACACAACACAAACTGATAACTATTTTTCACTACATTTATTTTATATGATTATTTTTATATACATTCAGGTTTGTAAATCCAGAATAATTAAGTATGCACCATTTGAAATTAGCGTGTGTTACTTATAAATAAAATTCAATAACATTGCATCTTTTCTTTTAGAAAGAGATTTACGAAATACGATTTTAAATGCAATTGACAGACGGATATGTACACTGTATATAAATAGACAGGAACCAAATAAATTAACACTTCTTCTTTTGATTCATAAAGATCAATTGTTAATTATTAGCTAACTTTTTCTCTCCAATTTATAATTCTTGGGACGTGCTACTATCCCCAAAAGGATGTGAATTTTGTACATCTTTCTTTTCGTGTAAATTGTGTAAAACGCGTGAACCGTGCAGTGTTTCGTACAAACAGGGAAGCGTTCCGTGCAGACTGTATTGAATATCGTGTAAACCGTGTAGCGAACATGTACCATTCGTGCAAAGTACATGTGGGTTGTAGAGCGTACCAGGGTCTGAAGTAATTTTACTTGATTGTTTGATTAAGTTCTTCCGTCTTCACGGAAGACCATATAGTGATTCTACTGTTTCTTCTTATTATTATTTTTCCGTACATCTAATTTTGTTCACGCGATTTCTCGAAGACTACTAGACGGATTTTCCTGAAATTTGCAGGAATAATGTGTTATTACCTGAAGTTATTTTATCCGAGAGATTTTTTGGAATCTCTTTTCTGGTGCCATGTTACGGACACTTTTCTGATTTTAAAATGACATTTTGTCCAGGGTTAATCTCAAGAACGGCAAAAGATATCACTGTAAAACTTTCAGGGATTATAGATCGTGATAAGTACTATCCAGGACGCGATCTTTTGTTCGTCGTCTCTACTTCCGGTCGTTACCAGATGCGAGTTTAAAAAGTCAAAATTTCTTACTTTTTTGTTTTTCAATATTTTTGAATTATTTTAATACGGTTAATAGACATCCTTTCTGTTAGGCTAAATATATAATTTGTTTGAATATTGACAAATCCAAAGTCTAGATATTAACATTCGAAAATCTGAAGCGGGTCCAAAATGGCGGATGTCTTCGTAGACGCCGTCTTTTAGCGAGTAGGGATTTATGGAGGCAGCTGAGCGTTTGATTAAACGATTCTGACATAAAGATACATGAAATGTAAAAAACTACTTCGACTCTCACGTAGTAGTACGTTGCAATTCAGTGTCAATCTTAAAACTTAATTTCCGTTTCACTGTTTTAGTGTAACTGGGCTAGATACGATATGTAATGTGTATAATGTGTTACATATACTTTCTTAACGTCGAAATAAAATAAAGGCGCTAAGAATGTTTTATATTTTAAAATTTAATTGAAGCTATCATACCTATTTTATAGATCAGTCCAAAGAAAAGGCGCAAATATTTGCTCGTGGCGTTTGGCACGAAATTATGAATGCTTTTTGTAATTCTTAGACAGGTGAACTGTTGCAAAAGTATACACAAGTATATTTGGAGCAGTACTCCCAATAGCTTAATGGTTATTAAAAAAGTTAAAAAAAAAAGCACTTTCACGTTGGCGACATGGGTTCAATCCTCCTTGTGACCAAAAAATTTTGAATCTATTTTCAGCTCGATTTTACGTGGGTTTCTTTTCCTGAATTGGACGGAAGACCTCTCGTTGCTCGCAACGAGATCGTATCTAGTTCTTTATATTATTTGATTTCTAATATACATTTTCTAAAAAAAAAAATACAAACACAAAACTGCTTTAGAGTCGTCTATGTAAACGAAGATATAAACTTTGTCAAATCGAAAAACGATTGAAAATTTGCAATCCGTGTATCAAATTTTGGGATTGACCTAAAAGCTGTGTGCTGTTTCCTTTTCTTATTAAATGAATGCTTGAAATAGTTTTTTACGTATATAATTATATATTTTCTAATACAATTTTTAATTATTCGAAGTCAACGACCTCTGAATACATTAGACTTTTCCTGCAATTATGAATGCCTTATATCTTCATTTCATATCCACAGATACACTGTTTAATAGGTTTCAGCTATCCAATGACCATTATTGTGTGTCTTTAACCAAAGGGTTGGAAGAAATTAAATTGCACGATATAGGAGAATTTTTTTTCTTCCAAAAATGATAAAATAAAATCTAATTTAAAGCATCTAATTTAAAGCATTTAAATTGATTTCAAATTTATTTACAAGTCGTAATATAATGAATAAACGTATATTACTATTTTTTTACCTTGGCATCGGTCCAGTTCATCATTGTGTGGCTGAGAATATAGCAATGTCCATCAAAGGGTACCCATCCGACAGGGCAAACTGATAAAGAGATTTATTCTTTGTCATCAATGGAAATTGTGTTGTATAAATTTTCATTTGAAAGAATACCGTATAAGTAGAATTTTTAGCGAGTATTTTAATTTTGGCATTATTAGCGAGGGTACTGAGTTCGCTTAAATTGAATATCGCTAAAAATTAATTGCAATTTATTTGTTATCACTTCTTAAACATTCATTTCAAAATCGCTAAAATAACATCTCGCTAAAAATAAAATACCAGTTTTTCAGCGCAAATCGCTAAATTTGCGTCTCGCTAAAATTTCCACTTAAACGGTATTTTCAAATTTGTTAATACATGCAGGGCGTATGAACAGAAAATATATTTTCTAGTTGAAATCTTTAATAAATTTTCTAACATAACATTGTATCAGAGATTTTTTTTAAATCAAATTATTTCTTGAACAAACTTGTTCCAACTTTTGAAAAGCTTTGACAAAAAATATTCTTATTCAAGGGAAGATTAAACTCAAAGTCATGATCCTATCATCTAAATACATAACATATGAATATACTTTAAAAATACTTACAATTATTCTGAAACCAATATTCCCATCCAACTTCTGCACTTGTCCTGTTTATCGATAATTCAGTCAGGTAACATTTCAACAGTTTACAAGACGATAATCTCTTGCTGTACAAGACAGCGACACATGCTGGATTTAGCACAAAGCATTGTATACCGCACTCTATCAGACCGACCCCTTTGTAAATCTTCATATAGTAAAAAGTCTGGGTTGGTAAAGTGTTGTCAAAAGCAAAATTTCTTATCAGATGTCCTTCAGAGGTTAACGAACACAGGAATTTTCTAAAGACGACCAGAGAAACACAGACAAGAACGCCAAATCTGATCATTGTCCTATACAGCTACAGCAAAACACGCTTATAACGAAGTCACTTGGACCTTTGAAATTACTTCGCTATATCCATAATTCGTTATAACCGTACAAGAAATTCATTAAAATTATACAGATGGGGATCCAAAATGACTTTGCTTTATCCGTGCATTCGCAATATCCGTGTTGGTACTAAACGAGTTTTACTGTAAGTATCTAGACGTTTTGTTCAGTTCAGTTCACTTTTTGGTTCATGAAATTTCACTTTTGTTTTGAACTTCTAATAAAAAAACAATAGTTGTACCTTTACGTAATTTTTTTTTCTTCAAAAATATGAATGATTTAGCATCTAATTTCTAACTCTGATACAGTTTTGTTGTTCCGCTCGAAATATAATTGTTCCAGTAGACTTATAGACGACGTCTTTTATTGTTCGTTATATTTATAGTTCATTGCAATTAAATAGCGCACTTTCATACACACTTCACCAGCAGTAAAATATTCATTTTGATACAATTGTCATTAGTTTTTTCGTACTGCATCTAAAGCATTAATAATTCAAACATATGAATATAATTGCTTATAATAGAAAAAATGTAATTATTTTCCTGGATTATTGAATGAAAGCATCCATGCACAAAGGACATTTAATCGAACACTAGATATTTTATTTCTAAAGCAGTTTTTTTCAAGACCACAATACAATTAAATATTTGACGATTAGAGAGCGTATAGGTATTACACAGCATTAAATTCGTGGATCAATATCTCAATCAATTTTTTAAGTCTATATGTACATTTCTCTTCCCTGACCTAATTACAGTCCAATTAAGACACACACTCACAAAAGGTAGTATAACAACGGTACTAAAGCAGTCCCATAGAAGTCCTTCAGTAGTACCAAAGCAGTCCCATAGAAGCCCTTCAGTAGTACCAAAGCAGTCCCATAGAAGCCCTTCAGTAGTACCAAAGCAGTCCCATAGAAGCCCTTCAGTAGTACCAAAGCAGTCCCATAGAAGCCCTTCAGTAGTACCAAAGCAGTGTTATAGAAGTCCTTAAGTAGTACCAAAGCAGTCCAATAGAAGTCCTTCAGTAGTACCAAAGCAGTCTCATGGAAGTCCTTCAGTGGTACCAGAAAGAGTCGTAGTGGGCGCGATAATTCATAAAATGGATGGAGCTTGCTCAGATCACTAATGAAATTGTCACCATTTTGAGCTTTAGGGCAGTTGACTTTTACACTGATAAGAACTCTAAGAATTTATCAAAATGCATCTGGTATAGGAATTTTAAAACGTTTGTTTCTCATGGACTTTCTTTAAATCAAGTGCAGAGGCGGTTGGAACTTAGGGTGTTTTTTAATGATGTGTATAGCTTTTTATTTATCGGTCAGACAATGCAGCTTTTATATCTCAAACATACTAAAAACAAATCGTAAATAAAGAATAGTTTCCTATATTATAAAACATGCTTAAAGTTTTAAAATAAATAAATTGTCTTTATTTAACTTCTCTTAATAAATTATTTCATTAAAAAAATTCAGGAATATCTGGTCATATTCCTTATATAAAGGCATAATGATAGAAAAAATATATCTCATGACCGTTTAATAAATCATTGGGATAAATTTTGAATTTATAAACAGATTGATTTTTGTTTTCTTAAACGTGGTATAAGTTTGTTTAAGGACTCGATTGCAAGGTGTCACCTGATCAAGTCATGTGGTGATTAACAAAAGAAAGTTTGCTGTAACTATATTTGCGGAATAAGAAGCGTGATATGTTTGCGTTAATATTGTGTTGTCAAAAGAATGTTTTTCATGCAAACTTTTTAACCTAAGTTTTATTTGTTCTTATAATTTTCTATTTGAAAGGAATATTATTTCTTTATTACAAACTCATCGAAACTTGTATTAAGCAGCTTTTAATCTTATTTTATGTTATATCTGTGCTTAATTAATTCCTATAGTCTTATTAGCTTTTTATGACTGGTAAATTTTGAATATACATTATTTTGTATATGTTATTCTTAGTTAGAGTTATTGTTTTTAATTTCGATTTGTATCAATGTATTGTAGTGCTATATCTTGTTTGTTGTAAAGCACCTTTGAACATGTCCATGAAAAGAGTGCTATATAAAGCTGGTAAAATAAAAAATAAATGAATAAAAAGAAACATTTCTTATCAACTGTCTTTCAGAGGTACAAGAACACGAAACTTTTCTCAAGACATAAAGAAAAACACAGACAAGAGCGCAAAATCTTAATATTGCTACACCGATAGCACACTTAGTTCACGCTATGGCGTAGTTGTCAGTTCACTTTCATATTTTATAATTGAATTAATGACAATTCCCATTTGTATTGAATTAAAACAGAAAAAAATTACCTAATTAATTTTTTAAAAAACACAAATATTTAGCATCCTATCCCAACTCTTTTTCCGTCTTGTTTGCTCCGTTCCAATTTTTTGACGTCAACTAATGTTTGTTTTATTGATAATTTATTGCCATTTAATGAAGCGCCCTTTCATTGTGCATACAGATATATATCTCATTTGAAAAATGTCTTCCTCCATATATATGTATATTTAAAGCATTCAAACACATCAAAATAATTGCTTTGAATTAATAAATGATTGTTGAACCAAGCCATCAATGCACAAAGGAAAAATGATCTAACATGATTTACATCAAATAGAACATTAGAGGGTTTTTTTTTCAAAACAGTTTTTTAAGATCACAATTAAATGTTTCACGTGTAGAAAGCTTAGGGGTAATACACAGCATTAACATTGTGGATGAATGTCTCAAACAATGCCTTGTATACATGTATATTTTTTTCTTTCCTGTCCTGAATACAGTCCAATTTTAAGACCAAACCTGTGATTAAAAGTATAACAGCAGTACCAAATAAGTCCAATAGCAGCTACACAGTGGTATCAGGAGATTAACAGTCACCCCGGCGGTTCCAGTGAGCCGTCCCAGTGGGCACGCTGATAAAACTCAAAGAATTCATCACAATGCATCTGGTATAAGTTTTGTACACCAATTTAAAATGTTTCTGTTGACGTTTTAAAAATTATATGAGGCATTGAAAACCCAGGGTGTTTTAATATGATGTGTGTGGCTTTTTATGTATCAGTCAGGCAAAACAGCTCTTATTTCTCAAACAGACTTAAAAACAAATCATAAAAAACATCAGACACGACAATTTTTCCTAAATTGTAAAACATGCTTTGACATTAAAAAAAAATAATAAATGTGTTTTGCTTAACTTTTCTATGTTTTAAAATTATGTGAAAAAAATCCACGAATAATCGATCAAATTGTTTGCATGAAGGGGAAATGATAGAAACGTGTATTTCAAGACCAGTTAATAAACTAGAGGTACTGTGAGCAGTACCGTCACTAAATGATACCCCCCGCCTCCCATATGGTTATAACTGATGACAAAGTCCATGATTTGCCATGGCCGGGAAACCCAAAATATGTGTCAGATCAATAAGTAAAATAGGAGGTGCACAATGACAATATGTAATAAAGATTCTGTGAAAGTTTCATTAAATTTCATGCAGTGGTATAAGAGGAGTTGCGGATAAGAGATAGGTACCCTAAAGCGTAACAGACGGACGGACGGACTGACGTACAGACGGACGGACGGACAGACGGACGGAATTAACGATTACTATATACCCTCCCGCTTTTCAAGCGGGGGGTATAATAATTAGGTTTGATTTTGAAGCATTTATCTTTTTTCCTTAGCGAGGTGTAAGTTTTTCTTTTCAATGAAAAAAAATCCTGTACAGCATGTTGCTCTGAATTTCTCAACAACACAATTCTTTTTAATAATATCGGGCTGTTCCAAAATTTCGTGGACTTCTAAGGTAACTTTTTTTTTATATAGCATCATACTTGTATGTTATTAAAATTTAGTAGAGATATTTAAACAATAAATTCAGATGATTTGTGTTAATTTTTTTTTTCAAAAATTCATGATTTATTTTTCAAACTTTACCAGACTTTAAAACCTGCTAAATCGGATTCTAGAGCCAAAATTAAGTATTTAACAAATAATACACAAAAAATGCCTGCAATCATATTCTCTGCAATATCGACAAAATCCCAAACTTTTAAGTCAAGAATTCTTACATTGATTTATATTCCATATTACATATAATATTTTGCCTTGTTGAACAGAAATCAATTTTAGAAGATATGTCGACATCCTTTAAGGGGGCCGACTATAGTTTCCATTGCGCAATATTTCGCGCATCATAGTAAAATGAAGCGTATTTACTGTTTTAAAGCAACTTTTTTCGCTTAATTATTAAAATTAAACAAAATTAAGAAATTATAGGTACAAAAATGTAGTTTCAATTTGCTATAACTGATTATTAAACCGATTTTGCGATTGATAGGTAGGTTGACGTCGCTGCTGTCTTTTTTGACGTTATGTTAATCTGTAGCTCTTAAAGTAAGGGGTAGTAAAAATATTATTACAGAAAAAGTAATAAACGTACGTTCTTGAAATTTAAAACATAAAATTTTAGAATATCTCCAATATTTTTATTATGTTTTCTTGTGAATCCATTGTTTACGTCATATTTTGTAGTACTCTATAGAAATAGTAAAATTTGCTAATTTTTTATAATTTTGAGATGCCCCCTCTCTAAAAAAGACGGTAGAATTTTGTACTTCTTACATATATTGTATCATATAGTATTACTCATGAAATATTATAGTTTGAACAAAATGTCTATTGTAGTATTTGTATAATTTGCTTTAAAGTGCTAAAAATTTGCACTTTCCTATATAATCCTAATAGTAAATGTACATGTATTTTGAGACGGTCCCTCAAAAACACCTGGAAGGTAGATTTTCCCCAAG